CTGTTCTGATTTTCCACCTGGTTTTATGCTGCTAATCCATTGGCCAAAACAACTTTACTCATCAACTAATAAAAACAAAACATATAAAGAAGGACATCCCACATCAAGGCAAGATTTTCCATAGAGGGGGTGGGATACCAACCCAGCCACATAACCTTCAACCTACGCTGTCCTGCCTATGGGACATGCTGGGGTAAGAGTGGCAGAGACTGTGGGAAGGACCAACCAATGAATAATCCAGCTTGAGACCCAAGCCATGAGAGTGAGCCCAACCCTGACACTGTCTGGAGCATCAGGAACCAGAGGCAGGATGTCTCAGAGACCAAGCATGAATGACAAAAAAAAAGTCTATGTAATGATGCCTCACGATATTCTGCTATATTCATAGATTGGTGCCTAGCCTAATTGTCATCAGAGAGGCTTTATCTAGCCACTGATGGAAAGAGATGCAGACACAACCAAACATTAGGTGAAGCTCAGGGAATCCTGCAGTAGGGGGGATAAGAATTGTAGGAGACAGAGGGGTCAAGGACATCATAAGAAAAGAAAATCTACAAAAATCAACTAACGAGGGACCATAGGGGCTCACAGAGACTGAACTGACAATCAGGGAGCCTGTAGGGGACTGACCTAGGTTCTCTGCATATATTTAATAGTTGTGTAGCTTGATCTTATGAAACTCCTAACAGTAGGAACAGAGACTACCTGTGATGTTTTTTTTCCGAGACAGGATTTCTCTGTAGCTTTTGGTGCCTGTCCTGGAACTAGTTCTTGTAGACCAGGCTGGCCTCAAACTCACAGAGATCCGCCTGTCTCTGCCTCCAGGGTGCTGGGATTAAAGGTGTGCGCCACCACCGCTCAGATACCTCTGACTCTTTTGCTGGCTTCTGGTACCCTATTCCTCATAATAGGTTCCCCTGACCAGCCTTAATAGGAAGTGTTTAGCTTAGCCTAACTGCAATTTGATACGCCAAGTTTTGTTGATATCCATGGGAGACCTGCCCTTTTCTGAGTAGAAAGGGAGGAGGAGTGGATGAAGAAAGCTGCAGAGGGGATGTGTGGGGAGAAACGGGGAGTAGAGTAGGAGGGAAAGCTGTGATGAGGTTATAGAAATGAAAGAATTCAGAGAGGAAATACATAGTCATTAAAGAAAGGGAAGGTGAACGAAAGCAGGGGCATGGAAGGAAAGGGAGAGCACACATTGTCTGTGTGGCATCATAATCAGTAACAAAGCCCTAAAAGAGAGAAGGGGCATCATCTAATACTGTTTCTAGTATTTATTAGCATTCTAAAAGCACCCACAAATAAAACTACATTTTAAAGATAGAATGAATATTGGAAAACCAAGACAGTTATCATTAGGTGATGCAGACATGGTTCACTAGAAACAGCAAAATCAAATTTGTGTTAGGAAATCTGAATGTAGAAGAAGGTTCTTTACCTGTAGACAAACCATAATCATGAGAATACCCAATGGGGAAACCCCACTTAAAATACAGTGATACTTAGAGAAAGAGTAACAATGAAAGTCAAGATAACTGAAATGCTTTTTACATTCTCGCACAAACACACATGTGCACACATGCAGGTACATGCACAAATCACGCACTTGGTTGTCAGAAGACAACTTGTAGGAGTTGGTTCTTTACTTCTACTACGTAGGTCCTACAGATCAAAGTCAGGACCTCAGATCTGGCAATAAGTACCTTGAGCTGCTGAGCCATCTGCTGCCCCATGTTTAGTTTTCTGACAGGAAGACAAGAGATTGGAAAGATAGAAGTTCTTCCTAAACTCATTAATAAACTTAATGCATCTCAAATTAAAATATAAGATAACATTTGAACTTTACAAAACTTAACTTTTACCTAAGAAAACATATACATAATAATCAGCATGAACAGCAAGAAGAGAGGAATTTGCCACTAGCTATCAAATCCTTTATCTCTACTGCATGTATTAGCTTTTTGGGATCCTATTCTCTTTGGATGTATACCTTGTTCAGCCTACACGTAGTAGGGAGGGCCTTGGACTTTCCACAAAGCAAAGTGCCTTGCCCTCTCTTAGTATTAGAGGGGGGGAATGTATGGAGGTAATGTGAGGAGGGGAGGGAGTGGGAATTTGGATTGGTACTTTTTTTAAACATCTAATAAAAAAGAAACTAAAATAAACAGAAAACAAAATAGGAAAAAAGACCTACACAAACATATATGTGAAATTAAAATATAACAAATGCAGACATTGAAAAAGTCTGGAAACAGATGCATCATGTAACAAATAGCATTACACAGATAACCAGCCATTTGGAAAAGGCTAAAGTTGAATTCCTAACTTCTTGCAGCAAAATAAATCCTAGATAGATGAGAACTACACATAGTAAAAGTGAAGCAGGAGGGCCAGCAGAAGTCACAGCAGGGAAAGGCTCCTGACTTTGATCTGGGGAGAACACAGTGGACAGAAGCCAGTTCCTGCACATTGTCCTTTGACCTCCCCACATGCCCTGCTCTACACATGCCCATTTGCAGACACACTTCACATATAAACATTAAATAAAGTGTAACTATAACTTTTAAAATGAAAAATGAACAGGAAAATAGCACAAGCGATTATGAAGAGCTAGTTCATATTCTGTGTCGGAGAAAATTTAAGTTGACTATAGAGGAGCAAAGACATATAGAAAAGGACAGGATAGTTACTGTAAAGGCAGTCTCTACTACCCCTCCCTATTATATTGTAGACATTGAGAGCAGAAGCAAGAGTATCAGGTACCATAGAGGCACCCCTATCATGTCTGAACTTCTGAGAGAAGACACAGTGTAAGGATTCTGATAGGATTTGTGATACCAGAAACATTTTTTTTCCTTTTTAATTTTAAAGAGAGTACCACACAACTCCATGAATTTGACAGTCATTAACCCTGTGAAGCCCATCCCCAGAAATAAGAACACACATTTCCATCAACACCAGAAGATCCCTTGTGACTCCTGATATCCATTTCCTCTAGGTTCACAGTGAGGAGTATATACAGCTCTGGTTTCCCGAGATCCTTCCATCGTGTCTACTGAAGTTTCACCATTTCATTATTGTGGACTATTCTGTTGCACAAATACATCACTTCCTAGTTGACATTTAAATCATGTGCAGTCTTCAGCTAGGAGTTAAACTTCCAAAAAATGTGTTTCAGACAGAGTTAATTTTTCGGAAGCATCTAGTTGTGGTGAATTGTATGATAAATGAATATTTAACTTTTCAGAAATTGCCAAGCAATTCCTTAAAGCAATTTTATCATTTATTTTTTTATTTTATTACAACCACATGGGTTTCAAATGTTCTTCATTTTTGTCAACTGACTTGGTCAATCTGTTTAATTTTGACTAAATGAATGCACAATGACAGCTTACTGTATTGTAGTTTGTATCTTCCTCATGACTAAAAATATTGAGTACCTTTCCTATGTATCCACTGGTCATCAGTACTATACTGTAAAGTTCAATTCTTCCCTTGCTATCCACTGGTCTTGTCGTCATCCCACTTTGAAGTTGTAAGAGTTCATTATTTTCTGAGTAACAGCCCATGTACATACATCACAAATGTTCTCTCCAACCCCACAGTCTGTCTTCACTTTCTTAAAGTTTCTTCAATTTAGTTTATTCCCAGCATGTATTTTTCGTTTTATGGTTCACATTTCTTGTTTTCCATAAAAGGGAAGAAACAATTAATACTATTTCTTAGTGTTTCAGCAGAAGTCAAAACAAAGTTTGATGTCTCACAAAAATTTGTAGTTACATCTTTTTCTTCTAGTGGAATTAACTTCAATAAGATTTGTCTGTGTGACAGTCTTTAAGAGAACTATTTCCATAATCCCAGTGATGCTAGCTAAAAATGTCAAAGAAGCCCTTGAATGCCTGTGGAGCGGAAGCAAGCTTGTAAAGGAGGAGCTGCAAGCACAAGACACTGTTGCCTCTCTAAAGTACTGCTGGAGAACACAGGAGGAGCCAACAAGAGCATAGTGACCACAACAGGACTGCCACAGGAGGGTGACCAAGTCCTAACCAGGGGGTACCCAGCATCTCTGTTGCTATACTTCAGAAGTACAGTGGGGCAATGGCATCCATGACTTTTCTCTTTCTGATCTCATCACAGCACACTGACCATCTGAGAAATTATTATTTGTAAATAATTATTATTTGCTTTACTGTGAGGTTTTCAGATTAAGAGGAAGTGTACTCAAGGTGAGTGGCAATCAAGGAGCCTCAACTAACTGTGCTTGATTCAAAGTAAGAGAAACCAAACTTCATGCTGAAATGAAGCCTCTGGGGCCTGGGACAGGTGTGTTTTTGACATTCCCCGTTTCTATGAGTATTAAAGTCCTGTTATTTTCCTACACAGCTCCTTCACTAACCACCGACAACTGCTTTAACTCATTATCTTACCACAGACTCCAACAACACGCATACAGATATTCCTGGGATGACCCTCTGTACCCTTACTTCCTACTTCATCCAGAGTTGATGAGAAAATGTGATTCACAGCAGCAGTTCTAACTCATCACATGGCGTGTACACTTATTTCTTACACCTTTAAGTTATATATCCCTGGGACCTAGAGACATTCACATCAGACAGATGATCAAATACTCAGTTCACAATGGGCTCCTGAAGGATTTGAAATATATATTGACCATGGCTGTATACATTCACTAATTAAAAGAGTTAACTGTGCAATGATGGAATTTATCTTAATACAGAGCTTACCTTCTGAAAAACACATTCATGCAAAATGACTCATTGTAAATGGACATGGTAGTGCACACTTGTAAACCTCAGCACTTGGAGAACTGAGACAGGATCATACCGAGTCTGAGGTCAGCCTGGGCTACACATTTAAGTTCTAAGCCAGTTTGTGCTGTATTGTGAGATCTTCTCTCACAAACAGACCAGGGAACAAGCAAACAACACTGCACATTCATTAACAACAGACTAGAGAGGTGCCTGTATCCATACCTCCTCTCAAAACATTTGCCTGCTTTTCCAAGTCAGCAATTTCCATCTTGATATTTTCTTTCATCAAAATATCTTTTTTCTTAGTTATTTCATACTCATCATTGAAGTCTGTAATTTCTTTAATAAACTTTTCCTCTTCCTCTGCTGCTTTTTTCTTTGTGGCCTCCTGAAAAGCAGAAATAAGTTACCAAATGTACACACTGGTTGCACTATCCTTCAGTGATTTAAAATACAAGAATTTGGAGTTATTAGCCAAAGTATCATCATCAGCTCTGTTTTCTGCATCACCAAAAACAGGCTGTGATGACCAAGAACATGTGTTTAAAGACGGGGTCTGTCATACAATATCTTCCATGTGGAAGTTTTATTCTTACAGATTTGGGAGAACTAGTGAGGTAGAAATGCTGACATTTATCATTATGCTTGTATCTGTGAATTTACTTTACAATCATATATGCTACTTTGTCAATATAATGTATATTCAGGTTGAGGAGTAATAGTGAAATGTGAAAATTACAACCTTTACTCAAAGGAACAATGCTGCTTTATAGGAAAACAAAAAACTGATTATCTGAAGGCAAATTATACAATAATCTCAAAGTTAGTTCAAAATAAGCTTTTATGTTGTAAATCAAACATCCACAGGGCACAAAAATATGAATTTAATCCTTTGGACAGTGCAAAAATCTAATTTCCTAACAGCATTAGAAACGTTAGTCTTTTGTATTTTTATTTTTTGGCTGAAGCACCAGCTGTGTGGAATAACTTTTAGAAGCTGGTCATGTCATGAACTGTATTTTGTTCTTACATATGTCTTACGTAAGTTTCCACTTATCTATTCATTGTGTGTACATATATATGCGTATGAGTGTGGACACGCATATTCTGTGGCACACATGTGCAGGGTAGAGCACAACTTGCAGGGCTCAGGTTTCTCCTCCTACCATGCTGCTGCTTACAGGGATTAAAGGGTCATCAGACTTGGTGGAAAGCCCCTTTGCCCTCTTGCTGGCCCAATTATATTTCTCTGAAAGGTCATCTTATGACTACTCACATCTCCAAACTGGCCTATACTCATAACTACTGCTCAGCATGTTGGCTTTGACATAAGATAAAAAGATAAACAATATTTTTCACCCACACCCATAAATATGCCTAAAAGTATAAACCTCTCTGTTTTTCAAGATCATTAAAACTGGGCCTCAACACCAGAGTAATTCAGAGCGGTGGTATTCTTTCTTTTAGGCTCATTACAACTGTAAATAATTTCTGAATTATATCTTTGTCAGCACAACTCTTTCAAACTGTGCTACTCTCCCAGTCAATTTCAAACAGCACTTGATATTTTTATTTGAACAGTACTGTCAGCTGATATGCATACAGATAATTTTCTCAAAGGAAAGATGTACGTATTTAGATGCCTTTGACACAGTTATTGACTTCGATGTTTCTAGATGGCTAGAGACTTACGAAGGCTTGGAGCAGCGTATCCCTTTGGTTTGTAATTTCACTGTGCTGTCTCTCTAACGCATTTTCATGGGTTTTCAAAAGCTCTAAGAGGAATGATTTTTCAGAAAACTGCTGAACCTTCAAAAGGAAAATACAGAAATCAGAATAAAGCAAATGAATACAAATTTTAGGGGCTCAGTTAACTGAACAGGTCTGCAAATGTAACATTTTCTGTAATATCTTTAAGAAGGAAAATTAAATTCCATTCAAAGCCTTCCTGTTCGCACTGTTAAAGGTGACTCGTAGCAGCGAGTTTACAGTGTCCTTCCCCAGCAGGACCACGGGCTCCTTGTGGGCACGGCTCGGCTCGTTTATTTTTCCTCACCACATTCAGCAGAACGCACAGATGAGTACTGAGGCCGTCTGACCGTATACATTGGAATCCACTTCTGGACAGTTGGCTCCAAGGAACAGGCTTGTGAGCCTAGCCTTTAATGGCTGAGCCATCTACCCAGCCCTGTCTCACGACTTATAATGAATCAATCACTTACTATGATCACTAAAAGATGGGATAAAATCTACAGCTCGAACCCAGTCTTGTGACTATAGCTATATGAAATAAGACATAAGTTTGGCTAAATATTCCAAATGTTATTTTGAGAATTCAGTCTTCTAATTTTACTTATTAACTCTGTGGGGGGTCTAATTTTCAGAGACTGCAGCAGGTGGATAGCAGTGTTTGCACTGGCAGGTTGCTGAGGCCAACAGAGTGAGATCCATCCCAGCCTCCTCTAGGCATTCAGCCAAAAGATTTCTCTCTATCTCTATCTCTATCTCTATCTCCTCTCTGTTTTTTGTTTTTTCGAGACAAGGTTTCTCTGCAAACAGCCCTGGCTTTCCTGGAACTCATTTTGTACACCAAGCAAGCACAGAAATCTTCCTGCCTCTGCCTCCCAAGGTCTGGGATTAAAGGCATGCGCCACCACTGCCTGGCCAAGAGATTTCTTACAAACAGGATCAGGGACCAACACTTCCCTCTTCTTCCCCACAAGAACTCACTTTTAAATTTTCATGCCCCATTTTATTTCAAAGATTAAATGATTTCATAAGCACTGATATTAGGTAGAAACTGTTGTTTAATTTGCACTTTTAAAACACCACCTTCTGAGACATGAATTGAATATAAGAATGAAAATCAGAGAAACAGATGCTGAAACAATTTTTCTACAGTGTTTGGTATGAGCCCTCATGAGAATGTATCACCTCCAGTTTAGGGCTGTTCACATCTCTACAGAGAAAAGAAAAATGATACAAATTCAACTGAAATTGCAGAAAGCAAGATTTATATTAACTTCCTCAAGGTGAGAGACAGGATGTGAAATCTCTGTCCCAGAAGATATTGAATAGTAAAGAGCCTGGAACAGTCTCTTCCAGAGGCAAAGGGTTGGCTTCAAAGACATTTTGAAATATTATAGCCACTAAGTCCTAGGAATACTGGCATTTTGAAAAAAATATCAGCAGTGAAATAGAAATGATCTTCCATTTATGTAAGACCATGTACAGCTGCCCCACCTACAGTCCTAGGTGCAGTTTCCATCATCCATATTTTAAGAAAGATGGAGACATAATTTGCATGACTGGAGGTATGGAGGTCACAATGAGAAGTGTCTTGTGTCTGCAATGCAGAACAGAAAATGTGTTTCCCAGACTTCTCCATTTGTTTAGTGTAAGAACATGACACTTCAGGGCTACTTCATGATTATTATACAGATGACAATAAAATAATGTCAACAAGTTTAAGATTTATAAAGGATATATAATTAATTAGGGGTACTTCCACGTCTGTGGTTATCAATTGGGAGTCCTGTAACAATAGCTGATTAGTTTTTGGATCAGAGAATTTTGAATGTTAACATTGGAGATACATAGAAAAGGCACTGATGAAGCAGCGTGTGGTTGTTAAAGACAAGAGAACAAGGAAAAGGAAGGGTCAGGAAGTAACACATTTGCTTCCATTGGGGCTCCCATTCTAGTAGTGGGACCAGGACAAAAAAAAAAAAAACTCATTTAGAGATCTGTCTCTTCTTCACCTGTACATGGTGAAGGACCAGGGGTGGTGAACAATCTGTTCAATTTACTGATACTAGGACTTTTAAAACAAGAATTTCCAAGGTGTTCTGTTGCTGTTGAGAGAAGGATCTCAGCTGGGACCCAGATATCATCACCACGCACAACTCATGCACAGCACAAACACAAGACACCTTGACCTGCCAGTTCTGATAGCAGGTGAGGTGGGGATGCGGATGCCATGTTCTTGAGAGTGCTTCATGCTGACCTGGGGTTGTCATAATTTGGGGGGGGGGACCTGAGAAAGTGGGGGTGCTGGCCAAATCCTGGTGTATCTAGCTATTTCACTTCACCGTCCAGGCTCTGTGGAACTGTCAGGCACTACCTGGATCTGCCAAAATGCTGTTTGGGGTGGATCCAAGTTGACTCCCTAGGGCTTAAAGCTCCTGATCCTTTTCCATCACCTCAGCATCACCTGGACATGTTTGGTCGTCCTGTGCCTCCAGATCTGCCAACAGATGGTAGTCCCACAACAATTGGTGATTAGGAATGGTCAGTGGGTCCAAAACAACATCCTAATGGGACCAAGGAGGTATAAACAATGACACAGTCCCCATGAGTGAGGCAGAGAAGAGACAGCACAGGCTACTCAGTGATTCAAACACAGAGCAGGGGCCAAGAGCTCTGAGCACAAGAGAGACACAGTCACCTGGTACCAGGACTTCAAGAAAAGCCAGAAGGCAAAGAGAGGACTGGGCTGAAGAAATGAAGCCTCACATCCAGGGCAATGGTCTGAGGCGGGTGACCCAACCAGAAACCCAGTTGCCAATACAGAATAAAAGGCAAAGTTGCTAGTGAATGAGAGGGCAGATTTGCTGCAGGTGGAAGATGGCTCTGCTGAGGGTGGAGCAGGTGGTTAGAGGCCCGGCATGAAGTGATTACCTTTCAGTGGGCTCTGCCTCTAAGCAAACATGCCACCGGCAACAGACTTAGTGTAAGAGGTTTACTGGGGGAGGAGAAAGTGGGAGAGTGAAAGGGGGACACCTCCTCCCATCTATCAGGACCTCTGGCAGAATGCTGCAAAGGCTCCATAAAACATCAGGAATAAAGTGCCAGGAAGCAGATTTTTGGTAGGCTTATTCCCCACGAGTGAGGCAGAACAAGATCCAAAGGCGTTTATCAAGCAGGGATAGAGTGAGAAAGACACAAGCAGCTTGGTGATTTGTCAATCAACTCAAGCCCAAAGGACTTGAGGGTCCGAGAAACAAGACAGGCAGGGGCCTCCCACGAGTCTTCCGGCAAAGGGCAGGGGCCAAGTGCTCTGATCCCGAGAGAGCCATGGTTGCCTGGTCACGAGGCTTAACAAGGCCAAAAGGTAAGACACCACGCTGGAGAGACTGGTCTTCACTCGTGGGAAATAGCCGGAGGTGGGGAAGGCAGAGGGGCTCACCAACCACGCCAGTGTTGAATGGAGGGACACAGTAATCCAGAGAAACGAAGCTGTCATATGTGGACCAGGTTTCTGGGTTGCAATGCACCTCAGACGGCTGGTGGGCAGGAGGAAGTGCCAGGAGAGCCTTTCCTGGTCAGGGAACCAATGTTGTAATTTAAAAAAACAAAACAAAACAGGAGCAAGAAGGAGACAGAGACAGAGAGAAAAAGATGGGAGATGAGAAAGGCCCACCTTTCACGAGGGAAAGTGGCAGTGTGCGCAGGAGGTGAATAAGTCGAGACTGCTCATCCGTTTCCCGGCACCAGGCCCAAAATAATCACACAGAAACTATATTAATTAAAATACTGCTTAGCCTATCAGCTCAGGCTTCTTATTAACTAACTCTTACATCTTAAAGTAACCCATTCCTATTATTTTATATTTTACCACAAGGCTCATGGTTTACAGGTAAGGTTTTTAGGGCAGGCATCTTTCTCCTTTAGCAGCTACATGGCGTCTGACTCTGCCTTCTTTTCTCCTTTATCTCTGCTTGGAATTCCCTCCTTGCTCTAGTCTGTGCTGCCATAGGCCCAAGGCAGTTCCTTTATTAACCACTGATAACAAAACATATTCAAAACACACAGAGGGGACTCCCACATCAGAGGTGCACTTAGTGGCTGCAGCTAAGGATGTAGGCTGTCAGAACCCTTAAGGGCAGGTCAGTACAGATGCCTGAATACTAACAGTAACTGCCTGGAGACTCCTTAGCTCTGCTTTACTACAAGGTAACAGCCGGGGAGGGATCTGATGGGAAGACACCTTAAAATACAAATTGCACTAAGAAATATTCCCAAACATAGCAAGTCTGAACTGAGGCACCAACATTCCCATGGCAGTTTGAGTCATTTAAAGTAAATAAAAGTTATAAAACTAAAGAAATTATTAACTCTGCCTCCTAAATTGCCCATGCTCTCAAGACCACTTACAAATATAACGAAAGGAGTGAGAAGTCCCTAATGCCAGGAATACCAGTTTCTCTTTCTCATCTCTATCTATCTTCTGACTGAAAATGAAAATATCTACATAAAGCCTTAATGGCGCAGTCTAGACTCAAATGGCCAAGCTGTGTCAGAAAATGTGCTGTTTTCGAGATGCTGAACTTGGGGCAGTACCACACCCTCGTTAGTTCTGTTTCTTCCTCCCCTACTATTCCCCTGGGCACGGAGGGGCTTGTCTGGTGACTGGGTCTGTGTTCGACAACGTGCCATGTGCGGCTCGTCACTGTCCTTGCTGCCTGCATGCCTCAGAAACTTCCCTACACAACTCAGAAACTGAAGTGACAAGAGCATTTTAGATTACCATTTGATCCAAGTAATGAGAGTCACTCCTCCCGCACCTGACACTGCTAGAAGCAGCTCAGCCTAGAACAAGCCGCACTGTGCTTGCTCCAAAAGCAAAAGGAGGCAACTTTTCATAAGAGACACAAGGAAGACACGCAGATCTCACGTCCCTAAAATCACACAAGGACAGAGGGAAAGCCTGGGGTTATGACAGCCTCGACAGGAAACATTTCAAAGGCCAGAGTGTATCAATGAGCAGACTGCAGCAGACATTAAGGCTTTAGCTTTTCTCTTTCTTT